CACAGTACCCTATCACTGCAAAGAAAGGAGATACATTTTCACATCTCTTATTTGGCTCAAAGCTTGGCCACAGTAATTTTTAAAATTACATATTTCTATTGTGAGCTTTACAGTCCTCAGCAAGCACAAATATTTCAATATGCAAAGAACAAGAGACTTGTTATTAAAATTGTCAGTAGAGATTTTATAAGTAAATATATATGTACATATGTACATATCCATACACAAATAGATATTGACATCAATATAGGAGAGACAGGGTGAAGGAAAGGACAAAGGAAAGACGGAGGAAGGAAAAGTTTGGTGTAACGGATAGTGAGCAAGCCTCAAAGATAAGAAGTCCTTGTTCACTCCCACCTCTGTCCCACATACTGGCTCTGTGACCCTTAACCTCTTAGGGATCAAGGCAATGCTCAAGCTTCTAAGTTGCAGAAAAGTTGCTGTATTATTACTGTATTAAAAACTGTGTGCTGTATTAAAAGTTGTTTGTATTATTAGAGGGATTTTCCTAATCTGAGAGTTCTCTATACCAAAGAAATCACAAATCCATTGTTTTTTTCATGTCTACAGTTGTAGTCATTTTTATATGTGTTTCCTGATTCCGCTTGCTTACTTTCCACCAGTTCATACAAGTCTTTTTTTCTACATAAAATGTTTCCATATTAGCCACATTGTAAAATGAAGCAGACAAAAAATAAGAAAAATAAAGTTTTTAAAAAGTATACTTCCATATGCACTCAAAGTTCATCAGTTCTTTCTGTGGAGATGGACAGCATTTTTCAGCATGGGTTCTTTGGAACTGTCTTGGATTATTGTCTTGATCAGAATAGCTAAGTCTTTCACAGCTGATCATCATTACTATATTGCCATTACTATGTGGAATGTTCTGATTCTGACCATTTCACTTAGCATCAGTTCATATATGTCTTGCAAATTTTTCTGAAACCATCCTCTTTGTCATTTCTTATAGCACAATAGTATTCCATCATAATCATATAATACGACTTGTTCAGCAATTCCCCAATTGATGGGAATCCCACAATTCTTTGCCACCACAAAAAGAGCTGTTATATTTTTGCACAAATAAGTCCTTTTCCCTTTTCTCATACAAGTCTTCTAAATGTTTCTCTGTGATTTATCACATTCATTATTTCTTAAAGCTTAGTAATATTCCATTCCATTCATGTACTCCAATTTTTAAGCCATTCCAAAATGATAAAAATAAAATTTGTCTCCAGTTCTTTGCTATTAGTATAAGAACTGATGGAGAGTGAACTAAGGAGAAGCATGGAAACCATGCATGCATGTATGTATATGTATATGTGTGTGTGTATCTATGTATCTATGTATCATATGTATCTATGACTACAATAATGTAAATGTAAATAACAAAAAATTAAAATAAATATATAATGACTAAGCTCACATCTGAATAAGAGTTGGGTAAATGCAGCCCCTCCCTTCTTTGCAGAAGTGAGAGATTATGAGTAAGGAACAATGCATATGTTGTTAGTGTCCACTAACATGTTTAGTTTTCTAAACTACTTTCCCCTCCTTTTCTAGTCCCTGTAATAAGGGAAGTCTTGCTTGGAATTGAAGTAGTTAGAGCAGGGGTGGGGAACCTGTGGCCTTGAGGCCACACATGGCCCTCTAGGTCCTCAAGCATTGCCCTTTGAATGAATCTAAACAGATTTCAAGGGCTGTGCTTGAGGACCTAGAGGGCCTACAGGTTCCTCACCCCTGGGTTAGAGACATATTCAAAAATGATGATGTAAGAAACAAAATATATAGTAGAACATTTCCCCCCTAAACGAGGTACATTCTCTCTCTCTCTGTCTCCTCTCTCTCTCTCTCTCTTTCTCTTTCTGTCTCTCTCTCTCTCTCTGTCTCTCTCTTCTCCTGTTACAGCATAAGAGCTCTCTGGACACATCTGGAGAATACACATGGAGAGGAACACATGTAGGTACTATAGGTAGCCAGAGTACTTGCACAGAGGAGCAAGTCATAACTCTGAAACTGCAGGGCTGCCTCTGTTTTCTGATTCTGACATTGTACTTCCCCTGCTTTCCTTGTCTAGCTGGTCTCTGCTGAGATTTGCTTCTATTATTGATCCCAAGGTGACTGCTAGGCAGTCTTGACTGCCACTGGAGCCTTGGTTAGTGAACTTCCTTCTGTTTCTAGCTTCTGATCTGAACTAGAGTCCTCAGCTGAGGAACTCTCTCTCTCTCTCTCTCTCTCAAGATAAGAGGAAGAATGGGCTTAACCTTTAACTTAGATCCCAGAGACTCTGAAGTTTTGCTCTTTTTTAGAGGCAAGCACCTTTTACATACCTACTCAGATATGTAAGTATCAGGAAAACCCTCTCCCGCTTTCCTCTTTCTCTAGACAAGGAAGTCTGTCAGCTCCTAGTCTTAGCTGAGGGCAACTTTTCTTTTAAGAAGGAAAATTTTCCTTTTTGAGGGAACTCTTTTGGAACACAGAACAGTAAGTAATGCCTACAGGCATTTATTCTATCTTTGAACCAACTGTGTCTGGAGTTTCATACTCAATCCTTTGTTTCAAATTCTGGTCTCTTTTTCATATATGTGGTCAGCAAGTCACCCAGGCTTTGATCCACTTTATACTTGCTTGTGTCTCTAACAATCAGGTAGTTTGTCCTAAAATTGCCAACTCGTATTGTGTTTCCATGCCTATATAATCTGGTCCCCTAAATGTAGCCCACATGTTTAAATGAAAGTCATAATCAAAATAATGCTTGTAAAGACACAAAGTCAGAATTTTTTACACTACATGCTTGTCTACTAAGTTACAACAGAAATTTCAAATTGGGGGGGGGAAAGCCCTACATTGAGAGCCTGAGGCCCTGGGGGCAGTTGCTGGCTCTATCACTTTATTTATTATCTTTGCAACATGTGCAAGCCACTTCAGCTCATAATCTGTTTCTGCACTGGTAAAATAGTTACAACACACTATACATAAGGTTGTTGTGAGAATCAAAGGAGATAATAAATGCAAATGTTCTATACATTTTAAAGTAATATGAGTGCCATATTTTATTATATTTCTCTTCCTATTAATTTTCCAAATAATCTAAAATATAAAACTTTATAATTCCTTATAATCAATGCCTATAACTTCCATCCTTAGGCATAATATATAATATAAACTCATAAAGTTAATATATATGAGATATAATATGATATAAACTTATAAACTTAATAACACCACAAATTCAAATAAGCAAATACACTCAATATGTAAGGAAAACCTTAATTACCTACAACTCACAAAATAGACTTTTTTTTAAAGTTCTGGGATTTTTGGGGGGCTACTTATATGATCTTAAAACAACTGATATAAAATTCCATCATTGAGGGAGAACTTTTGTTATAGCAAAATAAGTTGGCTTGCATAACTTCAACAAAAATATTAAAAGAGAAAGTTCAAGCTAAAGTTAGACTTATGTTATTGAGCCAGTTACTGTTTTGATCTTTATCTTTTTTTTATTATGTACTCTTTCTATTGTCTGTCACAAGAAATAAAAAGAAACAAGGGTATAGATGCTGATAAATGAAGGCAAAATTCAACTTCTTTCATTCTAAAAAAAAGTGTCCTATTTCAGTTGTGTAATTAAATAAACTCAGGCCCCTGAAACTCTACAGGACACAGATCTCTTTTTCTTCTACTCATGGTAAGGCAATAGGATTGAGGGGAGGTGAAATAGAAGACAATCTTAATGAATTTACTCACATACCCTATATTCTAGACAAGTTTTCCTAACAGGTTTATGGTATTCTGTTCTTCCATTCAAAAATTAAAGAACTGGGGTATATGTACACATGCAATTTTTCTGCTTTAGAAGGCATTTAAATATTGAAGGAAAAAAAAGAAAGAATAATTTTTAAAATCTAAGAGTGAGAATGGGTGGTAAAAATGGAGACAGTAAAAATTGTGTGTTTAGAGTAAAAATAAATTAAGTTAAAAATGAGTATATAACACAAGTATTTCTTTTTAAGCTTATGATTACATAAATTCTCTGGAGTATATGATTTAAATATAACTTAAAGTTAAAATTCTTTTCATGACATATGAACAAAAAATTCATCTTATAGGGAAAATGTTTAAAAGTATACCATGGCAACTGCTCAATAGGTCCATATTTTAAGTTCACTTGAAGTTTACCAACAAAAATTAATTAATCTTAGATATATGACTGAATTTCAGAGAGAGTTCATCTTCCATGTCATCAATTCTTTCTACTTTTTAACCATCTAGGATCTCTTTACATGTTTATCAACATTATATTAAACTAAAATTACACAATGGATCAAAACATTTGATTACTTAAGTATTTCATCATTGGTAAGCCATTATTTAATTTTGAAAATGGTCTATAATAACCTCTGGAACATAAAAACTTTCATAGACTAACATGAAAAAAAATTCTAAGTAATAAACTAAGCTGCTTTTCCCTCCTTTATCAAAGTATCTGGCTTATATAGTTTCAGTCTATGATTATTCTTATTTTCAAATTCATTAATGCTTTATGTTACGTACACAGGACATTTTCTCTTAAAAAAAAAACTTCAGATGTGTAGTGCAGTGTTCTGACTAGATTAAAGACATACATCACAGTTTACATTTCATGTATTTCATTCCTCTGTAGTCTTCACTTTCTCTTGGTAACTATAAAGAGTGCTACAGAGAAAGTCTAAAATCGGATAGTATTACATGAACTTTAAAATGTTTATTATGTCTTTGTCTGTCCTTTCACCTTTTCCTTTATTGCACTCTCTTGTCTGTCTGACTCACAGGAGACATGGATTACAACTGGTTGGATCATACGTCTTGGCATAGCAGTGAGGCATCCCCAATGTCTTTGGTGAGACATGTGGAGCCTTACCATTTGTTTCCTTTATCATTTCACTTTTCCTTTGTTTTATTTACACCTTTGCATGTTTTCTTTTTTTGTTTCCTTTTTTTTATCCCACACCTTTTAGGGGACAGTCAAAAGGGGAAAAGAAAAACTAGTGAGCAGGCAGTTTTGTCGGACTCTAACACCAGGTCTGAGAGACAAAAGAAAATGGTGTCCTTTGGTGGCCACTCTTTGGAAGAGGACTTGGAATGGTCTGAGCCTCAGATTAAGGACTCTGGGGTAGATACGTGTAGTAGCACGACTCTAAACGAGGAGCATAGCCATAGCGATAAGGTACTGACTGAGATTGTGAAGCCTGCCTTTTAACTTGCTCATTTTGGTCTTCGTTTGCTCTCTGTCACTCATTAAAACAGTACATAATATAAAAGATGGGGTGTTTTCAGAGACAATGTAGTATTTCGTAAGGTGCAGAAAAGAAAAACAAAACCAAAAATTCCTGCTTGCTTGGCTGTTTTTTTTTTTCCCCACCATTTGGCAGCACAAGAAACAAAACAAAACAAAACAAAACAGGAACAAAAGGATGGTCTTATGGTCCGATTGAATGAAAAGAATTCATATGATTACTATAACATACAAAGTAAAAAAAATGAAAAATTTTTGATTGGCCTATTTGATTATTCATATATGTTCCTTGGGATGAATTTAAATTATTAATAGTTTGAATCCCAGGTAAAAGGGAGAAATTTGCATACAAAGTTGTTTTTCTTTTTTCCCTTTCACTGTCATTTTGTTCTCTTATTTAATTGCCATAGCATTTTTTTTGTGCAGCCTTATTTAGTGCTAGAACCATTGCCACCTGCTTTGGTATTTGTTACTTTTGCTTTTAGTTTGGTAGGAATTGGGGTCTATCATTTTTAACACATAGATGTAATTATTGGGGCCTTGCCTTTTGCCTGCCAATTTTGCATGAAGATGAGCATGAACCTTTTGGATAATTGTGAAACTAATATGACTGCACAAAACACCTGATTTGCTATTCATCATGTAATCTATAATGGTATAGGGACATTATTTATAAGGCTCTAGTTGTGCTATTGAGAAAGGAAATAAATTAGTTACTAATGTTTTGAAGGCCAATTAACACTTTCAGGACATTCTTGGACATCACTGAATGAATGGGAATAGGCAATTTACCAAATGGATCCAGAGATCTGAAAGAATCAGTGCACTTTCAAAAAGTCAGTGCTTAACTCCAGTCTTACTGTTAAATTTAGTTCAGTTATCTTCTGTGTCAGTGAGAATAAAAAGTATCTCGTACGGGGTATTGTTTTTATATATTCACAGTATTTGAACCTAGAAAGACATTTTTGCCCTTAGCATTGGTTCGAATTATAGTATTCTGTTAACAATGATTTCCCCATTTTATTCATAGAATAACAAGGCTATTTACATTTTTAAAAATGTTGCTCCAAGAGATAAAACTTAAATACTTATAGCAATTTGAATTTCTTTGGTCCACCATAATTTTTGTGAATTTTAACCTTTTTTATAATATCTAATTGAATCATATATATATATATGTATATATTTATTTAATGTCTTAAATTAGCATCCTGTATAATCCATACTGAGAATCAGGAAACTGTGAGGTTTTATTCCAATGCAAACTGAAGTAAACTGAAGTTTGTGGAAAATTTTCATTATTATTTTTAAGACTAAAAAGGTATTTGTGCACTCATAAGGTTTTTATGACATTTTGAAATTTAATAAACATAAAATGTGAATGTGATTTTGTCTTAAAAGAATTTTAACATTTTAATGCATTATTCTAGCACCCTGTAACTTGGCAGCCATCCAAAGATGGAGACCGTTTGATTGGTTGCATTTTATTAAACAAGCGCCTGAAAGATGGAAGTGTCCCCAGAGATTCAGGAGCAATGCTTGGATTGAAGGTTAGTAATAAAAATTACAATACTTTAATGAGATGCCCCTTTTCCATGAGATGCCTCTTTTATTTCAGTGAATTAATGTAAAAATAAAAGATGTCAGTTTGCGTTGTTTTATTTTCCTTGTTTTAAGTAGTTCATATGTATTTGCCTTTATTGTTCAAAATCTCTTTTTGCCAGAGATAGCATTTAAAAGGTTACATGCCTTTTAATGTACATGCCTCACTAAAACACCATTAATGCATATCAATTTTTTAAAAATATGTTTTACATTGAAAGTGAACGAGTTATTTATTTTTGACATAAGTTGCTTACCTAAGTCTGAATATTTTGGTGATGGTTTTTTTATGTATCAATATGTTAATATAATTTTATAAATCTTTACATTTTATATTGTTTCTTTAATTCATATGCTTTTCACTTGATTCAGAGCTCAATTTTTAGTTTCAGAATAATTAATAGGTCAATGTTATAACTAAAATTTTTGCTATATAACTCCATTTTAAGCATTTTATGTTGAAATGATCAAAAAAGTTTCTAATAAGGGAGAAAATTTTAAAAATTATATATAACAATAAGTTTTATGTTAAATTTGAAAATATTACATGATCTTTGTTATCTCTATTTTCTTTGCAAGGATCCATGGTCATTTAGAGATGTACTTTTCTTTTTCCAACGTACATTAAAATATAACAAATGTGTATAAGGAGTAATTATTTCTAAAAAATATACTGCTATTCATTTAAGTAAACATTTCATTTATTTGAATTAAGAGTTTTCTAACAGGTTGTTATTGATTGAGAACATTTAAAAATATGTAAAGCTTTTTGGAAAATATAAATTGACTTGTAAGGTATTTGATGTCAGCAGTGGGACTGATACATGAGTATCTGACAGTGGGAAGACACAAGCATGAGAGCAAAGTGAAAGCCATTCTCTCTATTTCCTTAACCTGTGACAGCATGGGAGCTCTCTGGAACAGATATCGAAAAGAACTTGTTAGCAATATGGATTTAGTTGTTAGTGGTTTAGAACCGTAGAGTCTGAATGGTGATTATGAGCCGGCCTATGAAAGAAAATGTCAGAATCTTACTGATGTTGATGGTTGTTCAACTAGCCCCCTTGGATTGCTTAATCAGAATGCACTGGAACATCACCAGGGTGTTGTGATTCATAACCAATAAGTGGGAACCAGGTTAAGGAGTTAGTGCAGATTCTATACTAACTTAAAATAAAGTGTATTAATATTTGCTCTTATAATTTCTATTAGTAATCATCATCATCATCACAGGTTATTATTCTGTGTATCATATAAGAATAGGGCTGTGTGGAGAGCCCTTTCCTTATCTTTCTGTGGGCCTGAATGGCCTGAATCATTTAGGATCTTTATTAGATCTATCTGCCTGGAATGATATTGGCTCAGGGTCTTCTTAGGTATTTCTTTCATTTAAAGGTAGATCATATCCTTTGGGAAGGAAGTTGAATCACAAAGAACAGAACCTACTTCATGAAAATGACTGATAGTAATGGAAATATTGAATTTAAAAATAATAATGCATCTTTTAGATAAAATTACATTGTAAAGGCTTTGTTGTTGATGTTCAGTTTTTCAGTTATATCTGACTCTTTGTTGACCACATTAGGGGTTTTCTTGCAAAGATACTGGTGTGAGTGGCTGGCTTGCCATTTCCTTCTCCAGTTCATTTTACAGATGAAGAACTCAGACAAACAGGGTAAAGTGATTTGCCCAGGGTCACACAGCATGCTAGTGTCTGAGGCCAGATTTGAACTCATGAAAATGAGTCTTCCTAATTCCAAGCCTAGGGTTCTATCCATTGTGCCAACTAGCTGCCCTGTTTAATTTAAATTTAATTGAATTCAAAGGTTACATTTGAAGACACAGAATAGCTAATAGACATTCACTTGAATTTTTAACACTATTCATCCTAATATTAATCCTATTGTAAAACTCTCCTATTTCAAACAGGTTGTAGGAGGAAAGATGACTGAATCAGGTCGACTCTGTGCATTTATCACCAAAGTTAAAAAAGGAAGTTTAGCTGATACTGTGGGGCATCTTAGACCAGGTATGTTTCTACCTTAGATTGTTTATTTGAGATCCTGAACTTGAAAAATATGAAAAATACAGTACTTTGGAATGTGATCTGATTAGTACTGAAATGCTCACTCATGTTCCATACAAATCTTCAATCAGTAGTGAGATTATTACTAGCATTTACTAAATCATACTTGTTAAGAGTACTTTTAATTTTTCAATCTTATATTTGTTCCTCTTTAGTTCATAATAGTATTTTATTATAAACTCTAATTTGTGGGAGGAAATAAATACCTTGTAGGGTAGGAAACAAATTAATGGTTAAAAAAAATCAAAATTTGTGAGAAATCTCCAAATTCAGTTCTTGAAGAGGAGGATCAGCTACACAAGCATACACACATCCATACATATACATATATGTATGTATATGTATACTCCTTCTGTATATATATATATATATACATATATACAGTATATATGTATGTATTATACACATAAACATACACACACTCAAATGTAGGGACCAGAAATCTTTATACAAGCAACCAATTTTGATTTTGTGAAATTTAGAACTATAGTCACTACAAAGGTATTATAGATGAATTTATCATAATGTTCATCTTCCTTTATTGTTTACTTTGTATTAAAATTGTCTCTTTTGCTCGTGAATATGCTAATTCTTTTGGCCCATCACGTTTTAAGCCACTGGAGCTGCTCTATAGTATTTTTTTCTCTCTACAGTTTTAATTTTGTCCTGTGTAGTCCAATGGTACCTAAGAATTATTTATGCTTTAAATTCAATTCGTGAGGTTAGTTTTTCCTTCTAAGATTATTCCTGCCCAAACCACAGGTGATGAGGTGTTAGAATGGAGTGGAAGGCTACTGCAGGGAGCTACCTTTGAAGAAGTTTACAACATCGTCCTAGAGTCTAAACCAGAGCCACAAGTGGAACTTGTGGTTTCAAGGCCTATTGGGTAAGTTGGTGGCCCATGTCTTTAAGTTTCTCCCACATGGAGAATCCGTAACACTTTCCCAGTCATGTCCAAAGAATGTTGAATTTTATACACACACGCACACACAAACTCTTTACCTGTCTTTACCTGTCTTCATCCAGGGACAGCCTTCCATTAACTGATTCTGTATTTGGATTCATTCCTTAGCGGTGAACAATCTCCCACCCCACCCCCTTTTTTCTCCTCAGCCCTGTGATACTACATCTTAGTCTACCAAAGATCAGCTTCACTCTCTCCCCTGCCACCCCAAGCCATTTTTCAGTCAGTCCTGGTCACTCACCCTCATCTACTTCAATCCTGTCCCTACAATGCATGCTCCTGGAGGCAGTGATATATTACCCTTAGTTCTCCATAGCCACTGTCAGATTCTCCCTCTTCTTTAGTAGCTATGAGTTGAGTAGGTCCTTTGGAAATAACATAGCTCAAACCCACGTCCAAAGACTAACTCTCAGTGCCTCCTAGCAAAGGGATTATAAAAATTATATGTCTATGCCTACTAGTGTTGATTTGTTCATCTGTTGATCCCTTGGCATGATCACTACTGTGTTCTTTTATTGTTGATAGATTAATAAACAGAGGGAGGATAAATAAATGAAAAATACAAGGAAAAAACATACTAGAAAACTATGCTATTAATATCATTTTGGTTTTAATAATATGTTTGATACCAAAATGAAAAGTTAAACATATAATAGTTTTTAATAAAACAAGTTTTACACTTGGATTCAAAGAATCATTTCATAAAGATAAGACAAGGAATAAATAGATAGATTGAAGTTCATGTGAAAAAGGTCTGGGGGGTTTAGTGGAACGCAAACTCGGTATGAGTCAGCAGTGTAACCTGGAAGTTAAAAAAGAAAAAAAAATAAAGTAATCTTAGACTACAGTAAGAAAAAGAGAGTATCAAGAGAATGAATGATGGTTAATGGTCCTACTCTATTTTCCCCTGTCAAACAACATATAGAGTATTGTGTTTAGTTTTGGGCACCACATTTTAGAAAAGGTATTGACAAGCTGGAGTGTCCAGAGAAGGGCAATCAGGATAGTGGAGGACATAAACCCTTGCCTTATGAGGATAACTTGAAGGCAATGGGGCTTTAGGAAACAGTGGGAGAGGGATTACATTTGTTTTGCTTGGACTTGGCAGGCAGAGTTATAAGCAATGGATGAAAATTTCAGGAAACTAGACATAGGCTTGTTTAAAAATAAATTCCTAATGAAAATTCCTAAATGAAACATGTAGTGGACTGTTTCAGTTGGTAATGGATTAGATGGTCCCATGTTGGAGTTATTATAGAGGTATCTATACATATATGTTGGACTCAAAGACCTCTGAAGTCCCTTCCAACTCCTAAATTTGTGAAAGTAAATTTCTCAATGATTAAGCTTTTATTACTGTTCTTTCTCCAGCTTTAGACTCAAAAGCTTATTATTTATATAAAACATTGAGAATTAGGTGACGGTGGCAAAGGATTCAACTTACAGCTACCGTAACTCTTCATTTTGGTACCAAACACATTATCACCATAAAGTATGTTCTTGCACATGAAACCATGTTAGGACACCTTTATGAGAACTGCCTTTATCCTATTAGAAGTTTGTAAGCCAAGACACATAAAGATAACAGAAGCAATGACTAAATGTCATACAACTTACACAAAAAGAGTAAACTATAATTCTTTTCCCATTCAACAGGCACACATTAGCCACTGTGGGAAGAGAAATAATATATAACTAATCAGTATTATTAAATACAAGGGGAATGTAAGATTCAGGGTAGAATTTTAAAAAATCATTTCAAGGTTAAAACTCTGTTCCCATGCATTCTTTAAACATTAGAATTCTACCTGACCTGAACCCTGAATAAAAATAATCATTTCCACTGAAGTATGTCTTACAATACAACTCATTCAGAAAACTTTATCCATTTTGTCCTACTTTGCTAACATCTGATATGTTTTAGTCAAGTGACAATTTGAGGTTTGAACTTCCAGGCTTTAAAGGGACTACTACCCTATGGCATTATTTTCGCATAAAATTTCTGTCATTTTTATGTTTTTGTTTAATATTATGGGGTATTTATTCACATTGTTATAGATAGCTAAAACTGACTTGAGGTTTATTACATGGTTCATTAAATTACTTGACCTAACATCTATCCAGGCTCAAGCAAAAATGTCCTTAATTATTTTTTTTACAGCAGGAGATAGGGAACTTTTCAAATGGAACACATATTACTGGCAATATATGCATACATATACATATATGCATTGTTGCCAGTCCAAAGTGTGCATCATGTTTAAATATCTATATGTATGGCTTAATTCATTAAAAGAACTCAGTATGTTCTTAATGAATTATACTAAATTGACTTTAGATGTTGTTGGATTAATTGAACTTGTGGTAGTACGTCTCTAAAGGACAAAAATAGGACTATTTATTTGATATTTATTGAACCTTTTGAGAAAGATGATAAACCCCTGACCATGAATATACAAATTTATAAATTTGCATGTCCTCAAACTATTTAATAATTTAACAGTAGAGTAAGTACTCTTCTAATGGCCAAGATATTACTTGTACCAATGTTTGAAAAAGTTTCCTATTTTCTCTTCTTCATTCCTCAGAGATATCCCCAGAATCCCTGATAGTACACATGCACAACTGGAGTCTAGTAAGTTTCATTTTTTTCAATGAGAATATAACGGATTTCATAATAAATTAATCCAGTAATTTTCTCTATTTGTATAATTGTACGGTGTGATAACTTAGTACAAGTCAATATAATCACAAAAAACCCAAAAGCCATGGTGGAGAACAAGAAAAAAATTTTTAATGATTAATTTTACCTTTAAATATGTTGTTGTTCACTTTTTTTCAGTCATGTCTCACTCTTTGTGACCCCATTTCATTTGTGGTTTTCCTGGCAAAGATACTGGAGTCATTTGACATTTCTTTCTCCAGCTCATTTTACAGATGAGAAAACTGTAACATTTTACAGATGAGGCCAACAGAGTTTAGTGATTTGCCTAGGGTCACATAAGCTAAGTTTCTGAGGCTGCAGTTGAACTCGGGTTTTCCTGACTCCAGGCCCAGTGCTCTATCTACTGTGTCACCTAGATGCCCTTCAGAATATTAGGTTTCTACTTTTCAAACTTAAATACTTAAGCAATAAAACTTGCACTGCAAATATTTTGCAAATAGTGCCTGATTAGATTGCAAAGTTTGGTAATGGTGTTTGAAGAAGAAAGAATACTCAGTACTTAGAAAAAAATTCTTAAAGCAAACATAAATAATTTAATCAATATTTATTTTTGCCAGACCTGTGATATTCATCAATGTGAGGAAATAATAGTGTTCAGACTTCCTCTACTAATGCATTCTGGTAACTAGGAAAAAGCACACCTACTGAGTCAGAAGATCCGGGTTCAAATCTTGCCTCTATGCTTATTACATATGTAACATTTGGCAAGTCACTTAAACTCCCTAAGCTTCTGTTTACTCATCTGAAAAATGGGGAGTTTGGATTAGCTGAGCTCTCAGGTTCCTCCTAATTTTAGATCTATGAGCCTAAATTGTTTGAGTCTTAGACAGGAGCTTAGGGCACTGTGTGGTTAAGTGACCTGTCAAGTGAATTGAATTAACACTGATTTGTTATGGTAGAAATGTTCTCATGTGTTCATGTTCTATTTGACACAACATGATAGGGCCTCAGCAAATGTTTTCTAATTGAATGCTCCTGGGACAGCGGCAGGAGCTCTGAGGTAACGGGGCTGCAGAGCACAGTCTAAGTGGAATTGTTGGTTCTGAGATTCCCTTTGTAACAGTGAACTTTGAGAATGCCGCAACCTTTAAAACACTGTAACTTAGGCATTTTGTATGAAGTATATAATTTCAAAGTTGCATTGTTAAATATAAATGAAAAATTGCTGTTTCTACTCTAAATGCAAAATTATCATTTCAGGCTCTAGCTCCTTTGAATCTCAAAAAATGGATCGCCCTTCCATTTCTGTTACTTCTCCCATGAGTCCTGGGATGTTGAGGGATGTTCCGCAATTCTTGTCTGGACAACTTGCAGTATGTAGTCACTGAAATAATTTTTTCTTGCTTTTTGAAATACTAATACTCTTAAATATGATACTAGTTTGTAGTAGAACAGGTTCTGGCTAAAATATGATTTTTTGTGAATACAACCTTAGGTTTTCATTTAAAGGGCATTGCACTTCCCCCTATCCCCATTTCTTGGTTCAAATGAAAAGGTATCTTTATTTAACCTAGATTCTCTGGAATTTAAAGAGTGCTAACTTTTCTTTTTCTGTGTTTAAGCCTTTTATCTCCTACTGTCATAACATTCAGGGTCATGGTCTTTTGTTCTCTGTTCCATGGTAGCCAAATCTCATCCTCAGATATATAAAGGACATAAAATTTTATATTACATAAAGGCCCTGTTTAAGCTAAAGAAATCTGTTATGTGCCTTCTTCCTTTTTCATTTCTAAAAAAAAATATGAATTTTTAGGCTATCAGTAGGTTATATCTATCTCTAGAACTGTATTTTTAAAGGAATTTTAGACTATTTCCCCAATTAATGAAGCATAGGGATGAATGGGGAAAGTTTTTAATATATGACTGATTCTATGATATATGTTCATGATATTACATATTTCTAATATATCATATTATGATACCTCTGAATTATAAAAAATGCAAAATTCAGATATGCATTTTTATTTTCAATGAAGAAAATCTTTGAAAGTATAATTCCATATATTTCAGTTGCTTATATCAATATTATTTATACTATTTTTAAGAGCATTATTTTTAGAAATATAGAGTTTAAAGTACCTGTAATAACTTTTGACTGCTTTGAACTATTAGAGATCAAAATTCAACTTAAATTCAGACATTAAATGGTATAATGTTTTCAGTAAAATACCCATATGTTTTTAAGAGAAACACTGCTATTTTGTTTTTTTATACTTATGAAAGGACTAATTAAGTAAAATTTAGTCTTTTTGTTTTTTAAAATAGCACTCAGGGGCAGCTAGGTGGCACAGTGGATAGAATACTGGATCTGGAGTCAGGAGGACTTGAGTTCAAATCAGACCTCAGACACATAAGACTTACTAGCTGCATGACCCTGGACAAATCACTTAACCCCATTGCCTAGACAAAAATAAAATAAAATAAAATAAAATAGTACTCATGAATTACATAAAATGAAAAAAAATTTGTTTGGAATCCCTGGTCTATTCTCTAGAATTTTAGTTAATTAGTTAATTAATTAAGTATAAAGTATAGAAACTTAAAATACTATAAAAATCAAATAATTTAATGAAAAATAATTTTGACAGGTTAATTTGTGGTCTAATATGTTGGCATTAGCTAAGATGATTACAAAAATTATTTTCTTCTATAAATAAAATGCCCTTTTTCTTTTTCATAGTAATGGTGCATATCCTATTTTCCTTTATAAGCTATATCTAATTATTCTCAAATGTAATCTGGTAAAATAGAAGCATTGATATAGTCACAAAAGCTGATTGGGGGTAGGGGAAAGAAGGAAAGAGAATAAGCATTTATATAGTAGGTATTATGGGCCAGGCACTGTGCCAAGTATTGTTTTACAAATATGATCTTATTTGATCCTCACAAAAATACTGCAAGATATGTGTTACTATTATCCCAGTTTTATAGTTGAGGAAAGCAGTGGTTAAGTGACTTGCCCAGGTCACACAGCTAGTAAGTATTTGAGGCTGGATTTGGACTCAGTTCTTCCTGATTCTAAGCCTAGGCCTGTATCCATTGTGCCTTCAACTACCTCATAGACAACTGCATAGGTACATGTGATTGTCCTGCCTCTTGTGACCATATCCAATTCCCCATATTTAAAAATGCAACACTTTTAAATTCCTGATCTTTAAAAGAGACTTAATCAGGCCAGAGAATAAAGTATTTCCTATCCTTGGTAGAACATGAAGTAAATGACATTTTAATAATTCACTGGAATGGTCAGGTCCAGTGGTATAATTCAGGGAAATATTTCACCCTTAATTCAAACTTCCTTGGAACATGACTATAAATCAAGAAAGAGAAGATTGGAAAACTTATAAAGCTATATTTAACCTTCCTTAAATGTAGAGGTTTAAGATTTATTTCCAGAGAGTTATCTTAACCAGAGAGTTGGCTTAAAAGCCATGGGATCTTAATCTGACAGTGAGTGTCAGTATCACGTCCTTATGATTTGAAAGCAGTATATTCTGTATTCAGGTCTCTATTAGTTATACTAGTCATCTTCCTTCTAACTATGAATGTTTCTGAAATTAGTCTGAATCTGCCTTTTGCATCCAAGAGGACTCTAGCAATATGTTTACCTGGATAAAGAGGAATAAGAACTTCTCTCATCATAACTCCAATATTTTCTTTTCCAGGAAGCTTAGACCAATAGCATTATTCTAATTATGCTCTAGCTATGCATAGGCTGAGAGAAGGGGAATTTACTAGACACGTGAAATATGCATATATAGTATGTCACCATTACAAAAGAAACTCCCTTCACTTCTAATCTTCCTCAGGCTATACCTCCTTATCAGTGACATTTAACTAAAGACCATACTAAACCTGTAAGGTTATAACTATACTTTGCATTTAGACAGAGGCAATTCTTTCATCTTGTACTTTTATTAACCTAACACCAGTTTATACTGAGTTCATTGATTGCTATTTATCTCCTAAAGGGAAACAAAACAAAACAAAACACGGAATGTTTCCATCTTCAATTAGTATTTAAGTCTGTAAAGGACCAATGAATACCAGCTAAATTAAATGTTAATCCATTCACTTATGGAAAAAAATTTTTTTGCTAGTTTTTGTTTGTGTTTCCTTATTTTTGTTTCTTTTTATTTGTGTTTCTGAATATAAGCTCTTTTCTCTGTAAGAAAATGCCATTTTAGAACTTTAGACCACATAAATAGATGAATGTTCAGTTCGTTTTTAGATTGTATTAAAGAGAAATATAATCTTTTTATATTTTTCAAACTTGAGAAAATCCAAAGAAACTCTGATTTTGTAGTAGAATAGGCAGACCAAAACTCATATTTACTGAAGATAATACTTCATTGTCTGTGGTTGATTCATTATTATTATTTTTTTTGCCCAAGCATTTTGCTTTAGAAAATTTTCTGTCATTTCTTATGCTTTGTTTATACTTATTTATTTGTATGCATCTTTTCAAAGGACATACCTGATTGGAGAGTATGTCCTCACTCTCTTACAATTCTCTCTCTCTCTCTTTTTTTTTTTAAACCAAAGTTGTCATTGAACTTTGAATCTATTTGTTTCATTCCTGGTTATTTCAACAGTGGTGCATGAATGTCCTGGATACAATACTGCAGTGAATAGTAGGAAATGACCTTAAAAAGTGGAGAATAACAGAAGCATACAAACTCAAATTCTACATTTGAAGCAATCAAAAGATCATGCCCATTATGCCTACAAGGGATCAATTTATGTAAATGACAATAGGTCACTTAGTACCTCACTTTTCTTGTTTTTTCCATTAGTAATACTATGTCATATACATATTTAACACTGTATAAGTAATTAGTTTCAAATAAATGTATGTTTCAGAAGATATAAATAAGTAGACTTCAGAAAGCTATATATGCTAATGGAGAGCTGATACTACTTTTTTGAAGTTAATAGAAGAGAGTGGTATATTTAATGAGTTTCTTTTTAAAGTATTTTTGTTTCTTTTTTAAAGTATTAAGAGATTTACTTGCATAGCCTCCCCACCTCTAATATTCTTTGTTATTTTTGTTGTAAACTGAGAGAGTTAGAGGAGAGAGTAAGAGAACATATCCTCCCCTGATATTTAATTATTACCTACATTTTGTGCAAATTTAAACTGGTCCTCTTCAGTTTCTTATTCTAAAATGAGGGGTTGGATTAGATGACCTCTGAGGTCTCTTAACTCTAGATCTGTATATAAGAAGGGAACATTATTTCAGTTTATCTCCTATTCTGTCACTTCCTCAGCAAGCCTTATTAAAACTTTGTGGTTCATCTGTAGTTACTAAATAACAGTGATCTACTGAGAATAACACTGAGATTATTAACACAGTTAATTGTATTCTAAAGTTCTTAACATCTCTCAATTCTTTTACTACTCCATACCTAAAATGGAATACTGCTTACTCAGAGGGAGATTGCATGTAAGAGAGAGGTGGAGAGAGAGAGAGAGAGAGAGAGAGAGAGAGAGAGAGAGAGAGAGAAAGAGAGAGAGGAGGGACGGAGGGAGGGAGAGAGAGAGAGAGAGAGAGAGAGAGAGAGAGAGAGAGAGAGAGAGATTGTGATTATTTTTTCAGGATTTCCTTTCTTTTCACATTCCCAGTTTTATTTTTCTGTTTAGGGCTTAAACACCCTTACTTTAAGGGGAGAAGAACCACTCAATTACTTCTTCCTGTTACATTGCTCCTCTCTGCCCTCAGGTTGAAGGTGCTAATAGTATTTAACTTTGTATATGGGAAAATGGGAGAGAACCATGAAATGGTTGAAAGTTGAATCAGGACCTGCTGAGCAAAAATAATAGATTGAGTGCTCAGTAACTCTCCTTCAGCCCTATTGGGTATAAATGAGTGGTTTATTTATTTTGACCAGGAAAAAGCACATATATTCTGGTTAGATAATGTCTACTATTACTTGTTTCAAAGTAAATAAATAGCAAAAGAAGTGGAAATTATATAGATACATTTTTTATTCATCCTCAGAATGGTGTAGTTGAATGAACATAAGTGTAGAAGTTAGGCCACCTGAATTTCTACTCCTGGCTATACTACCAATTTAATGTGTGACTATCGGCAAGTTATATGATTTCTCTAGTTATATAATTTTTCAGTATAAAATGGGGATATTGCTTAATATCCACATCTTTTTGGAATTGTCATAACACTCAAAGGAAATAACAGATTTAAAAGATTTTTGTCATCATATGATAAGCACTCAAAGGTTGTAAATACATAAAAAAGCTTATCTAGTCTGAATGGTAGCAATTATTTCCTTTTAGATGAATAGTGGTAAAATAAAAATGTTTAAGATGATTTTCAGACTGGAAGCTGATGGGGATAAGAATAATTTAATAAAACTCACTGATAAAATTGAATTATAGACATACTTTTATCTTATAGCTTTTGATAATTCTATTAATACTTAATTTTTAGGTATGACTCATTCTGAAAACAATGGATATCATGGATTGCTTTTACTAATATATCTATTACCCATTTTTCACCCAGTTTTTCTTCAGTTTTGCCTATGGTTCTCCAGTTTTGTCAATGATTTCTTCTATTTAGTTCATCTAAAGGTTAAATTTTGAATTTCTTTATATTTGATTTCTAAGGCTTAGCTTTTATGATGCATTTGGAACTCTATCTTCAGAAGGTTCACACCTGAATGTTATTTCTCATTCACTTTTATTTCATGTTACTTTTTTGAATGTGATTTTTAAATCTATTTCAAGTAAATTACATTTGTTATATACTAGCATTTTTGGCAAATTTAATTTAGACATTCCATTAGAATATTTAAGTTTAAATATATATTTTAAGGGTGAAAATTATTTTTAAGGTTATAGTTGTGTGTGTTGGTTTTTACTTTTGGTCTTTTAGTTTCAGCGTGTTGTCTTTTTTGGTTTTGTTTTATTGCTTTTTTCTTTAATTTTGCTTACCAGAGCCAAAGCCTTAGTAGAAGAACAACGCCTTTTGTTCCTAGGGTTCAGGTAAAGGCCTTGTCTGCCTGACAGAAACTAAAGTTGTGCTTAAAAGTTTATTTATTTGTTAATTTTTGGAAAATGCATTGTAGGAAAATGTCATTGTTTTGGTATGTTGCTTTAACCCATATCATCTACTGAGCAGCTTGTAAAGTTCTGCATGGGGGTTGAAATATTGAATTTAATTTAAAGAGACAACCGGCTTTAAGTTTTGTTACTGAGTATATGATATATTCTGTATTTAAACTTGGGTTTGAGAGGGATACACACATATTATGTACACACATTCATATAGTAAAAGAAATAAGCTAATTTTGTGCTGTTCATCTTTGACCTTATTACACTAAGGTTGCTGTCTCTTTAAATCATTCATTAGTATTTACATTAGTACTATATCCTTTTTTGCATTTTCCAATTAATAGCTCCTTCAGTAGAAGACTGGCAAATAAATTTGTACCTTAACCAAAAATATGAATTTTGCTCATTATATATGGGGCATGCATTAAATGTTCAAATACTAAAAATATAACATAATTTAAAGTATATTTTTGTTATCTGTCATTCATAATATACTTACTTTTTTGGTAACATTTGGGTACACATTATTTGCCTCTTTTCATTAGGAAATGATTAAGTCGTAGATTAACTCAAATGTAGGTTTTACTAATATGTCAGTGCTTATCTTGCTTTGCTGCATGTTTTTTTTTGTTTTGAATACTATTTTTATTAAAATATTTTACTTATTAAATAATTATTTATTTGTATTAAACTAGATGAATTTACTCCTATTGTGTAGTCCCTACCTAAAATATTTTAAAATGTTATTGTGATTAAGCTAAGATGATGATTCTATATAAATTTTTAAAAGGTCATATTAAAAATATCAAGATTCTTGGTTAAAAAACCAAGAACAAATACATTTGTGAAGCATTAAAACTCATTAAGATGACATGTTGGTTTTTTTTTAAATCAACAAACTTTTAATACATTATTAAGAAGCACAGACTCAAAATTTAAGTGTAAGCTAAAATAATATAAACAATAAAATTTTATCATCTTGCTAATGCAAGTTGGATAGCTATTAAAACTTCAATGCAAATGCTTCATTATGCAATTAAAAAAACTCCATCACACAATCTTAGAAAATTCTGACATTAATATAATTACGTTATTTGTGAAATTAAAAAAAGTTTCATTTAAGTTGATTTTTAAAAATAATTCATTTGATGAATTGAATTCATTAAATGTGAAAGTATCATTAAACAAATTTAAAGATCAAACACAATTTCTGTTTTAATAAAATTCTAATGGTATAAAAATTATTTCATATATGAAAATGTACAGGAAAGTGATATATATTTAAATCTGGATACATATGATATTTTTATTCACATAAAATATATTTTATAATGTTGAAGTATATTTTAAATAATTGAAAATAATTGAAATATACTTTAAAATTCCTAGCTGCTAAGGATTTTAAAGGAGGCAAAAGTAACATGTTTACAGTAATTCAGGCACTAGAGTCTCAGCTCACAAAAAGTCTTAAAACGATTAAATTGTCTATTGATAATGGGGTTTATTCAGTTTAAGATTTTATTTCTTCAGCTGGAAGGTTCAGGTTAATTTGAAATGTTTACATCTAGTTTTTGCTGTATTAATATACTAAGTACACTTAGCACAGTAGTCAGAAAAACCAAAAGAAAGGGCTTTAATAATATGATCTGAATATCATTGGAGATGAGGAAAGTCTTGTTTCCCAATATTGCTATATTTAATTTAGAAGATCGTATCACATCATTAAATTGGATTTGTCAGCATAAGACAGGAATAATAATTTTATTTAGATAGAAAGATGAAAGCCTATATTACTTCTTTACTCTTGTGAAGAAACAGAAGCATCTTTGTGGGTCTTTTTTCCTATGTATTTGCTTCTGAATATTCATCCATACATACATCTATATATTTCTGATCTGTCATAAAGAACAAAATTACTTTTAAATTTAACACTATCTCATAGTTTTTTTTTTAGACTTGGGTCAGCATTTGTTTTACCACAGTTCAACACTTGTTACTACTATCATATGAAGACCTAATGCATGATAATGCTTAGAGTCCAGCAACTTTTTAAACATTTAAGACTGGTTCTTTTCATTGTTTCAAAAGCAAAGTTAAGGGGCAGCTAGGTGGCGCAGTGGATAAAGCACTGGCCTAAAGTCAGGAGTACCTGAGTTCAAATCCGGCTTCAGACCAAACACTTGACACTTACTAGCTGTGTGACCCTGGGCAAGTCACTTAACCCCAATTGCCTCACCAAAAAAAAAAAAAAAAAAAAGGAAAGTTAATCCCATGAGGAGTAGAAGTAAAAATAAATAAGTATGGGAACAGAGTCCCCTATTTAGGCTGGGCAAGCCCTATTCCTTATTAATAATTACAATAGCGTGCTCTAACTTTCTAGGTTTTTTGGAGCCATATGTAGAGTCAAACTTAGGCTACAGAGAAAAGATGCCAATGAATGACATATGGCATTTCTTCTTGCTCCCTAGATCACTGCCCTTCTCCCCAAATTCTGGTTCACTCTGAGTTTCTGTGATAGGGACAAAAGTAGATTACAGTTTTGAGTCAAAACCTGGATTTGATTTTTGCTACCAAAACTTATGGACTAAGGACTTCTTAAACTTTTTTCACTCATGACCCCTAATGCTGGACTAGATTCATATAGCTGAAGGCTAGTTTATAACTGTCAATACAAATGGATTCAGCAGTAGATAATAAGTTTCTGGTTCCTGACCTTGTACTTAAGAGATTATGTCAAGGTTCCTCATCTAAAATGGAAGAAATATTGCTGTACCATTCTAAATCAGTGACAAATGTATTTTCTAAGTAACAGGCCTTTTCAACTGAAATGAAATTTATGTCCTGAAGAACTATATTATAATTTTAGGGTCTGATAGATTAATAGTGTTCATTGTATGGAACTGCTACTTAGCCTCCTTTTAAATCTTGGAATTGTCTTCTATGTAATAACCCTAAATACTTCTAAAAATTCCTTTTGAACTATATGAACAGGTTACCGATATAGAGTGCAGAAATATCTTTTTTGCTACTTCTGAGCTATGACATGTGGCACAATTTACATAAATTTTACCCTTGGTCATGGTAAAATTGTTTAAAGTTACACAAAAAGTGTTTAAACACAATTCTAAGTATATTCTAAATGTATCCTACAAACGAAATTCTAAGTAATCTGCATAGACTTCAAAATAAGTTATTCTTTTTGATATATCTGAATTGACAGTTTTAGTACATTGAAGTTATTATAGCATATCCTTTCATTTTTTCCAATATAATTTGCTAAATGGAATAGTACAATTTGAATTCTGTGCTAATCCAAAAATAAGTTGGTAAAGGGGGAAAGATAAACTTAGTGGGTGGGGTTATAAACATTATGCCATTCTATTAGAAATAAGGGTGAATTAATATTTTTTTTCCTTTTCAGATAAAACTATGGTATGACAAAGTTGGTCATCAATTGATAGTTACAATTTTGGGAGCAAAAGATCTCCCTTCCAGGGAAGATGGGAGACCACGGAATCCTTATGTTAAAATTTACTTTCTTCCAGACAGAAGGTAGGGACAAGAGAAAAAATAAAATATTTCTGAAAACAAGTGCAAAAATATTAAAACAAATGGGTTTACAAATCAGAATTGTTTATGTTTCTAAATATCAGTCATGTCCAAAATTCTACATGAAAGTGATTCTGTCACAATTATTATATGAAAATATATATGTTTTAAATGATATTTAATTGCTTAGAAATTACTGTTATCAAATATTTACTAGATATATTCAATACTTCAATAGATCTGTGGTTACATCGATGTGTGTACTCCCTCTGCCAGTGTGAACTACAATGCATTGACATATTCTCAAACTGTATGATTCTTGCCCAGGTAATTACACAGGGCATAAAGGAGCTCCCCCAAATACAGGAGAGCTTCCTGTACTTCTTTAATATTTATTGGTAGCCCACTGGATGTATATATGCATGTGTGTTTTAATTTGTTGAAAAGGCTGTGTTTTGGGGTTTTTTTGGTTAAGATACATGAATAATCTTTTGGTGTAGAATATTTAAATAATTTGGGGCAGCCAAAAATTGTACATAATTTATATAATGTGTATATATATATTATTTATACTGAATTATACATAATTTAATCACCATTATGAACTCTCTCCACAAACACAATCTGTAACCCCTCTATAACTTTGCAGACTAGATAAAGACTGAGGCTCTGATAGGTTAAATAACTTGCCCAGTGTCACATAGTTGGTACGTATTAGAAATGGGACTTGAATCATGGTCTGACTCCCAAGACTAGCACTTTATCCACTAAGGCATACTTCATCTTAAGCAATGTATATATGTAAATAAATTAATCAAGGAGTAATAATGAAGTGACTACTTTGTTCAAAGCAATTGTGCTAGGCACTGAGGATACAAAAGACAAAACTTAAGCAGTTCCTGCCCTTAAGAAACTTGAGTTTATTAGGAGAGACAACAAGTGAGTGCATACACACACATACTACATATATGAGCACAATTCTCTATGTATAGAAGAGGCACTGGCAGCTATGGGGATCATAAATGGTCTCATGTGGCAAACCAAACACGGAATCATATTTCAGTAGGGAAATTTAAAAGATTTTGATGAACACTCTCTACTCTTTTCCCACATGACCTCGTTTGATTTTCAATTTGCTCTTATGTGAATGAATGAATAAAAAACATTTATTATATTACTCCTATGGTCCAATTAATAAACATTACCCCATACCAGGTGATCTTAACCACAGTTCCCTGAGCTTTTTTTTAATATTTTAATAATTGTATTTCAGTATAATTGGTTTGCCTTATAATCCTATGTATTTTATTTTATACTTTTAAAAATGTTAATCTGAGGTGAGGTTCATAGGTTTCATCAGATTGCCAACAAGATTCATGCCAAAAATGATTTAGAACCCCTGTGTTATACCATCAGATTACTAAATAAAGTATTTGCATCTGTCCTAGGACAAACTTCTTCAGTATGCTACTAATTCTGTATTCTCCAGAGTTAATATTAACTCCACGTTAAAAAAAAATGCTTAAGTGCTAATTGTGAAAATTTTGCAGCTATGTCATGATTACCTTTTTATTTATAAATGTCATAAGAGAAAGATTTTAAACCTTAAATTAAAAGGCAAAGTGGAGCTGACCTCCTTGAATCAAAAAGATTCCTTCCCCTGACAAATACTGACTATGTGATCCAGGGGAGGTGCCAATAAAGAACCTTTTTCTTCCTGTTGATTACATATATTTTATATTTAAACTTTAAAATTTCATATAGCCCATAGAATATATTAATATTTTACCTATTGGAAAAGACTATTAACCCTAGGGCTTTTAGAAGCAAAATATTTCAAATGATTGAGAAAACAATGAAATGATACTGAACTGGCTATTCCTATAGATGCAATAAATTATATCCTTCCTTTTTGTCTAGTGTTCCAGACCAGGTACACTTTGGTCAGGGTTGGAATTTGATGAGATTGAATCAACAAGGCAAATGGCAAAAAACCCCACCAAAAAACAAAAACAAAAACAAAAAGCAAAACCCAACCCTCTTTTTTCTCAGACAACAAGTATAAATGTGATCACTTAATAATATATAATGCATTAATCAGTTAAGGTTTATAGTCCCTCCCCCCTCCTCATTCCCCATAAAGACATGCCTAGATCAGTAGCAGTCCATATGTCAGGGAGGAATCTGGGAGGTGAAAACTACACCTTTTCTCAGCACTGGCGTATTCGGATTTATCATATCACCCAAAGGCCAGAAGTAATGTATTTAGTCATTCAAAGTGGATAGGTTTATAGTGCCTAATTTATACCCTGAACATGTTACAGGTCTTTGAAAGCTAATACCTTATATGGTACTATCTATATCCTCATTCCAGGTTTCTGTTATATGACTAGGGGCTGCACATTCACCTTGTATTTTTAACAGTGTCATGTAGTCAAGTTATTCACTTAGGACTCAAGGCCTGGAGAGAATGTGGCCATCTCACCTAGCTTATAAATTTCACAAAGAGTGTCTACTAAATATGATACATGGATAACTTGGAAAATAAAGACTGTTGGTATAGTAGAAGAAGTAATGGACTCAGATTTAGAAGACCTAGGTTTAAGTATGTCAAGTTACATGCCTCTTAGTAGCCATGTAACCATGGAAAGTCCCTGAACCTCATTGTGCTTCAGTTTCTTCATTTGTAAAATAGTAATGATAATTACTACCTGTACGACCTATCTCTCAGTACTATTGTGAAAGAAATATTTGTAAAGCATTATATAATTTTAAGCTATTGTGATTGTGATTTTATTGATGTACAAATGACAAAAATAATTATTGTTTAATCTGAAAGAAGTGTTTAGTAAAATAAATTTCAATCTTACTTTGCTAGTTTGTACTAAACACTAAACATTGCAGCAGGGGATATTAAGTTTAATTAGCTATTGGGTAATTTGCTACAAGAACAGAAGTTGAGATGATAATAGCTTAAAATGCTTAATTTTTCAATCATTTATGATCTCATTGATGTGAATATGCTCTCCATCAGTACAAGTGGTGCTTGTCCATGCCTGTTTTTCTATGTGATTCTAGCGTGTTAGACTTGGACTAAGGAAGACTTGACTTCAAAAATGGCCTCAGCTATTTACTAATAACTTTGTGATTCTAGGCAAGTTATTTCGTCTCTGTCTGTCTCAGGTTGCTCATCTTTAAAATGGGGGAAATAATAGCATCTTCCTCCTAGGGTGGTTACGAGGATCGAATGAGGTAATATCTGTAAAGTGCCTTGCAAATCTTAAAGCACTATATAAATGCTAGCTATATTATTGGATATCATTATTACTGTGTATGCTCTACTTAATGAGGTGGAGACTTTTTTTCTAGGTCTTTTTACATTTCATGGGAATCATTGTAGCATTTTGTCTGTCCAGCTATTATTCTTTGATCTCTGTATATGATGGCTCACCTCCTTTTCCAATCGTAAATGTCCTAAAAGTTTCTGCTTATGCTACAACTTATTTACAAACACCATGCATCTCTGTATTGCCTAATCCACAGCTTTTGCCTCTTCAGTGATTGTGGTACTGTAAAATCTGTAATCATGTAATATCACCAAGACGTTTGTTTGAATTTTCACCCAAATATCTTCTTATGAATAATTTTCCAAAGAGGAACAATCTACTTTTAATATGTATAAAAAATAAAAGCTAGACTGGATCACATATATGGTCTTTCCACTCCAGTATTATGCCTCTGACAGTGGACCAACAGATACTTTCTTGAGAGAACATGATGGTTAATGTTGATGTCAAAAGGTTAAGTATGTACCTTGAATATGCTTTATTCCTTCTTGTAAGCCAGTTATTTATCTGTGAATTTAGGCAAATTCTTCCTGAAACTTCTTTTTAAGTAGTCAGCCTATACGCATGTTGCTTATGCTACATATATTAAGCATTAATTTATTCAAAGCCTTTTACATGAAGATTTCACAGGCATTATTCTGAGGTAATGTACCAAAGAAAAAGGTGAGGTACAGATTCTAATGGATTTTTGAAGATGTGAAGACCAGGACATATGGTTGCCAGATACTCTGTGTGTGTGTGTGTGTGTGTGTGTGTGTGATGACTTTCCTTCTGTAGGTAATTCAACAGAAGAAATGTTCCAGGGAGTAATGGGCTACTGAGAGAAAGAAAGAAGGCTAAAGTCTCTAATTTATTATATTCTGCATAATAGCAGAGTTCACTAAGGCTAGTTCATCTAGAGTAATAAAATTGCACAGTTGGAAAATATCACAGTGATCATCTAATTCAGTTCCCTCCTCAATGCATGAATTTAGAAGAGAACAGTTGAATAAGATGAGGTGTGAAAATTGCATTTAGAGTTTGGAACCATGGCTTAAAATATAGGAGTGATAGACTCTTGACTATGGATGAAGTAACTCTCTAACAAGAACCCTGTAATCTCCGAGGAATTCGTATCCCAACTCCCATTTCCACAGATAAATGTGTACCCAGTGGTTGGCTATATCTCTTAGTCGAGGTTCTAGGGATACTTCTAAGGAGTCACAGATGACCTAATGTCACTGGATTTAGCCCGTGACCTTCTCTCTAAGATTATCAATTGACAATCATTTAGTTGGCCAGCTTTAAGGAGCTTTTTAGAGGGATATTTACTAAGGTCGTACAGTAAGCATAGTTAGGATAAAACATCTCTCCCTAAAAGTCTCCCACAAGTACATACATATTCCAGGGGAAAGTGGACTTGAGTTTAAAGAGCACATGTTGCAGAACGGTAACTCTCAGCTCCTGGGGGCAGAAATCCTTTCTCTCATTTGTGGAGTGCTCAGAAAGTTTTCCTTAAACATGGTGAATCTGTGTTCAGTTTGCCCTTGGCTCTTGAGTCAGGCATTGCTGCTAGCTGGTTTAAGGATGAGGAATCCAGCTTCTTATTAAGACCCTTTGAAGATGGAAGGTCCTTCTCCAGTCAAAAGAGGTTTGGAGGAAAGACAGATGTCCTAC